AACGAAATATTAAGTCGATCTGAAATTGAGAAGGAAAATAAACCTGTTTGAGCCACATTATTCTAAAAAAATACATTCTTAAATAGTGATTTGACATCATTTCAACCACACATTCTTCAATAAAATAATATTACACGTAGATCAAAAACTTTTTCTTATTTTTTAATCACACATTTCCGATCAATACACTATTCAAAAATGCATTATTACCAAAATAATGTGGCTCAAACACCTATATTATTTTCTATTTTTTTGAAATGTTCACTTCGAACATTAAACACATCAAATTATCATTTTATATTCAACATAAAGTGAAGGGGCGTTCAAGATCATGTGGGTGATTGATAAATCACATGGATCATTGATTAAGATAACATTAAAATTTGCTAATATAGTAAATCTAATGTTATTGTCAGTGTCGTGGAAGAATATACATCCATCCTGGTGACCCTAAGAAGGCAGGAAAGACAAAAGGACAGTTGTAAGGTTTTGATTGGTGTCTCAAGCACAATATATTGAGAATTGGAGAGCACGAATGCGTTGAGAATTCAGAGGAAATGGCTTCTTCTCTAACCAAATATAAACCTTATTCTCCATTTCTCTGTTAAGTAATCTTTTGTTTAATTATTTAAGTTTTTAAATAAGATAGTATATTGTTATTGGGTAAATCTATCGGTCGACTATATATACGAAAATTTGATGTCTTTGGCCTTTAATGAAAAAAAAAAAATGAATCTAATTTGAACTTGGAATGACTTGTTGAAGTTGAAACATAAATTATTTTACCATTTTTTTGACAATAATGTAAGGTTTTGACGAGGCAATTTAGCTTAATACTCAATTGAACAAAAATAAATCGTGTAATCAAGCATTTAGTCATCTCCTATTTATAAAAAAGTTTCACATACCAAAGTGTCTTGATCTATATATATAAGCATCTAGACAAGGCGGCCTGATAATCCGACAATACTATGTTATTTCCTTTACTTGTATTGAGCATCTTTACTTTGTTCGTTGGATCTATAGGAATTCTTGAGAATACAATATGATCTGGACCAAGTATTTGTGTACATATATATCACTGTCCCTACATTAATGTAGTACCATTTCTCTCCTACTTATTTCTTCTCTACAAATTGGATGGACAATAAGTTCATACCAACTTGTTTAGAAGGAATGGCAGATAAATCAAGAGTATTCATACATCCCAACACTTATCATAGTAAAAGGGAGGCTGCTGCTGTTCATGGCAGCACCGAAGGCGGCAGTGGTGGTGGTGACGATGCCGGTTGCCCCAGTGGTATTGGCAGCATGAAGTCATCTTCATCATCACCAGAGGGAGTGCTTTCAAGTTCAGAATCCAGTTCTCCAGTAAATGAGGCATCTGCTACAGCTTTGAATCATAGATTCTCAGAAGAAAATTTGCTCAAAGATCAATATCATGCACATTCTTTCCTTCCTGGATTGAATCCTGTGAGCCAAAATGGATCTTCTATCGAAGGGATAAATTATGTTCCTTTGAAATTTCTCGAATCATTCCCAGCTATAAATAAAGCTCAAGCATCTGAATCTTGTTCATCATCTCCTTCTTTATCTGTCAATTCAAGATTCCCAAATTTAGGACTGTTTCTTCAGAATCCATCACCCTCACGGAATTCATTATTCTCCATGCCTCAACTTGATCAAAACCAACTTCAGACAGGAAAAGAAGGGCTGAAAATGAATCAAAACCTAACAAATTATTCTTCAAAGGGTTTCAGTGAGTATTGGCTTAGCACTACTAAAACTCAACCAATGAAGTTTACAGGGAGAGGTCAGAATGAAAATGGGAAACGTGTCAGAAATGGAAACGCTGGCGTTCTAGAAGTTTCTTATCAACGCGAGGGATCGTCTTCTTCAGGTAAGCTTTTCCGAGGAGTAAGGCAAAGGCATTGGGGAAAATGGGTTGCAGAAATAAGATTACCACGAAACCGTACACGGGTTTGGTTGGGGACTTTTGACACTGCAGAAGAGGCAGCTGTTGCTTATGATACAGCTGCTTATATACTAAGAGGTGATTATGCACATCTAAATTTCCCAGATTTGAAGCATCAAATCAAGACTAATTCCATGAATAACAATACAGCAGCCCTTCTTGAAGCCAAAATAAGAGCAATGTCAAAAGGTATCCCCGCTTCAGATAAGGCCATTGATCATGATCGAAAGGCAATATTTTTGCAAGAAGATTCGGTGGTTAAAGGTAATTCGAAGCAAAAATCATCTTCAAGAAAAGAATGGCCATTGATGGAGTTGGAGAACAAAGCTGGATTGGATCAGATGATTGAGAATAAGAAGAATATTCAAGATGCGTTATCAGATATTGATACAGTTCAGTTAAGCAGAATTCCATCACTGGACATGGATACGATATGGGATTCACTTCTTGTTTCAGATTCATGAACACAGAAGCTGGATTTGATTGTGAAAATCCACGAATTCTCGTACTTTGGGGACATGTTTGGTGTATATCGCTCAACAATATAGTGTAATGAATAAAATTTTAACTTTTCTTCTTTAATCATATCCATTGTTGTCTATTGTATGCCTCATCGATGTTCCATTGGTACTTTGATGCAGAAGGACATTAAAATTGATATTTCATTGTTAATTTATTAGTATTTTGCTATTTTAGTTATAGTGTGAGTTTTATTTTACTCGGGGCTTTTGTTAAAATAGATGAGTTTCTAGAGTTTGCTTAGTTTTATTTTGGTTATAAGATGGTTGATTTTGAATATTGAATTACAAATTTGGAAATTGCTCTCAATCATCCACCTAAATGGTTAATTCACGCACGAATCTCCTTTTACTATTTCGTTATCGTTTTCTCTTCCATGGGTGTCGTATTTTCATTTTATATCTATCAAAGCAAAAGGTCTAATATTAATTCAGAAGGCTTATGTTCATTAAACACAAATAGATCTCAGTTTCACAATATATTTGTTCTCTTGACCATGATCAGAAGACATTTTACTTAATGTGTACGTTGTACCTTTTAGGCTATATTCAATTTAGACTTCATGATTATGTTAGTTTTTGATAATATAAACTATTCCAATATGTTGATGAATATCTAGCTACATAACAACATGAATTATGAAGAAAAAAAAGTTTATTTTTTTTTTTTTGGCATCTTTCTTAAGCTAAGCAAACATGCTCAATTGATTATTACGGTTTGCTATTATAATAGCAACAGATGAATGTGCCTATCTGGTTCAAGTTATTCTAATTTAGGCAAAAGTCATAGTTGTTAGGGATATAGTAAATTAAGCCGGCTCAGACTTCCTTGCCACATTAAATTGAGTTGCTGAGGAACATATATACTTCGACTTCTAACTAAAGGCAAACAGCCTGCAACAGGGCTAACCCATTTAAGAGTCCAATGAATTAGTGGCTGTTGGCCGGTTGACCCGGCCAATTTTTAAAACTGGCCTTTGACCAATGAAAAAAAGAAAAAAAAGGCAAAATTATAAAAAACAGTGAAAACCAAAAAAAAATGAAGAGATTCCCAATTTTACCCTCACTTGAAAACGAA